TCCCTTATCACATATTAATCATCATTTTCTCTTTTGCCGGCGCGTTCCGCCTCGCTCGGCAAGATTTCGACAAAAGGTGAACGTCCCCGAACTGTTCTCTCGTTAACACAGCCACAATCTGATTGGATAATTGCATATTATTATCACAAAAACTATCCCCCCATTATATTACCCACTACTATAGACAAAATAGTGCATAAGAGACTGTTTGAAGCTTAGGAAATATCAGGCAACCCGTTTTAGTTCTTGTATAAGTCCGTATAGAGGCGCTGCTGTCGAAAAATTATGGTTTATTATTGATCAATAATTCGAGCCACCGATAAACAGAGTACTTTTGGATTCTATAGACTCTCTATACTCGACTCATACTCTCTCGACTGGAGTCAACTCGACTCTATCAATTCTACTCTCTCAACTCGACTCTCTCGACTCGACTTTCTCAATTCGACTCTCTCAACTCGACTCTCTCAACTCGACTGTCTCAATTTTGTGTGTCTAGATGATCACTATACATTGCTTATAGATATGTCAGAAAAAATAGTACACTCGTGACGTCAAGACAGCTTTAAAGCGAACACACCATATGCATTTTTGCAGGAAGCTGCATGTATGTATAGGAAATGTTTGTTCTTCGCGCAATGGGAGGACCGGTTTGTTCGCTGTTCGCTACCCGGCATTGTTTATTTTCTAGTGTTTGATCAAGGGCTATTACTGTTACCTTAATTAAACGTCGGGACATAGAGAATGTCAATGGAACGACAGGAAGGATCAATGTAGCGTTGTTATACAGCGTATAAATCAACCGGGCGTTATCGAGAACCTATACGAGGTCGTGGAAAAAATACTGGTATTTCTCGAATCGCAGTAAATTGATAATCCGATAAGAATATGTCTAGAAGTAGACGGGCGTTAATGGAGAAAACGCGCGAGTTTTCTCGCGCGAAGTGCAGTCGCTCAAATTACCTGAAACTACGGGAAATCCTAACCTAATAAACCGCTACAACTGCACCGATTCCGAAATCCCCGATTCGCCTTAATCCAATATCTAATGAAATGCATGAAATTCCTAAATAGAATTTCGAACGTTGCAGTAAATCTTTCCGGGCGGCGCGCGTACAGTCAGCGTTTACTAGCTCCGGGAGAGATCGAACAGACGGCTTCGCTATTTTACATCGCTCGTTCGGAAGGTAGAAAATATTCGTAAGTTCGTATATATTAACAAAAGATCTCGAACGGGTCGCGAACAATCGCTGAATAAGGGAAATTTAGAAGAAACCGGATTAGATTCGTGAATTATTCCGGGAGTGAACGACAGTCGCAGATTTAGAGTAGGCGGCTGTTCGCAAAACCTACTGCGGATCGATCGATTTATTTACTATTTTAAAATCGATAGTTAATTATTATTTATTTACTACTTCTATACAAGAACAAAAATGTACCTACCTAACTAATTATTTGCACCACCATTATTTAAAATAGCAATTCCGTGTATATTATTTCAAACAAAAATGTACTATTGTTTGAATATGCGTACAAATTAAAATGAAAATAGCTTATTTACACGAATGAAAATATAATAAATAAATTTTCACTAGCTAAAAATGGCGGAGGGGCTGCATACCACCGCCTTTATTTTAAATATCAAGCATCCCATGTTTTATTTTAAATATATACTATTGTTTCATCATTCATACGTATTTAAATTAAAATAATTTATTCATTCTACACGAATTAAACTATAATATTATAAAGGTGTATCCACCAATAAATTATTCAAATGCTAAAAATAGAGAAGGAGCTTCATGTATCCACCTTTATTTTAAATATGAAACATTCAGTGCACTGTTTCAAGCAAAAAACTTTCCATTGTTTCCATTATGCATACACATTTAAATTAAAATAATACGAACAAAATTAAATAATTAATTTCCACCGTCTATTCAGATATAAAAAAAATGGCGGAGGAGTGATACGCATCCACCATTATTCCAAACATTTACAATGTGTCCGAATAAAAACCTAATAAACCGCATAAAAAATTTATTCAACGAAAACCCGAAACGTCCTCCATCCCGTAATATTCAAAAATTATACGGCGGACGTGTGGAAGAGGAAAATCCCGGAATTTAAAATGCAAACATCGAAGAACACTATTTATTCAGGGGTGGAAAGTTGCAAAAAAGAAACCTGGACGTCTTCCATTCTGGATGGCCCGCTTTTCCTGAAACATTGCCAGCGATAAGGGCGCGAGCGTTTACATTAAAAATGTTTTGCTAATATTCCGGCGCAACGAGATTAAGTCTACCGCCTCCAGGGGAGCTCCCTCGCATTCTAATTTTTCGGCGATTTATTTTTATTTTCGCGAATCATCGCCGCAGAATTAAATTAGAATTATCCCCGACTGTTTTTGCTACCGATATATGTTTTTTAAAAGCAAGTATCGTTTCAAAGGGAGCTTAATCTCCATAGGGATACTGATTACATAACGCTTAAATTAAACGAAGGAAACTTGCATTTCATCCGACCCAATTCGGAAATAACCCAAAAGCGGTTGAAGAAAAGAACATCTCGCCGGGAAATCTTAAGATAAAAGTCAACAGAGCCGAAGCTCCGGCGGCCGGAGAAAGTTGGCATTAGTTAAATCAAAATAGTTTCCCTTTGAAGGGCCGTATAATTAACGAAGGTGGTAAATGCTGCGTAACTTTGATAGTTAAAAGAGCCCCGGCAGCGGCCGTAAAAAGGAAGCAAAGCCATTTAATCAGCCGTAAAATTCCTGTAAATACCGGCATGAAATAAACGCAAAACCTTCTTATTTCCTTTTTCGACAAACAACAACTTTATTATTAAAGTTTCGGGGCTAAACTAATTTTCGCCCGGGGATTCTTCACTTCAAAGGCCATCGCTTTTTAATTAAATCCTTCTTTTTGTATACCTACTATTACATAGAAGGAGTATTAAATTCGTAAAATGTATTATTGATAAGTTTTTTTATCAGTATAATTAATTTTGTGACTCTCGAATAATGATTCTAGATTGAGTGTATTTTCACAATTTGAAACTTTATTTTGACGGCCTCTCACCCATCAGGAATTTAACTTATTTTTTCTCAATTTTCAAGAATTACTGAGTTTTTTCTCTATTTGAAACTTCACTTTGATGGCCTCTAACTCATCAGGAATTCAACTTTACCTTTTTCAATTTTTAAAAATGCTAGAATTACAGCGATATTTTTAAGACTTTTCAAGATTTCCATTTCAACTCATCAAGCAGCGAACTTACCAAAAATTACGCATAGAGACGAGAAGATAAAAGACTTGCGAAAAAAAAATCCTAATAAATGAAAATTATCAGCAAATCCATCCGACCGTAAATCCATTTAAAATAATGAGCGACCGGTATCTAATGAACTGTCATTAAAGCAAAACACATTGTTATACATTTACGAGGCTGTTTAATTCCGCTCGCGACCCCTTTTTTGCCCGTCGTCGAGTCGAGTAGGTAAAGATACAACAAGTCCGTACGCTAAAAACCCGCAATCAAGCACGTATTAGTAGTCACGACCTTTTAGGTTGGTGATAATGCCTAATTTATGTCTCTTCTTTGTTATTCTCGAAGGCATGCGAGAGCCTTGCCGTAGAGCCGACGCCGTGCCATATCTCCTAATCTCCGGCAAACAGATTAGGGCGAAAGAAAGAGACCGGATTCCTTTGTGACGAAGTGTACGTCGTGCTGCGGTGTGTATTTTTTGCAGGAGTTATACTCTCAGGACGTCGACGGGATAGAGAATTTATAGACTAAAACTTATACATAATGGTATATAGGGATTTTATCCATTCAACCGATATCCGCGCGGATTATACTACTTATTGCCAGTGAAATTTTTAATGCGAACAACGCACCTGTTGCCACCTATTTATACCCATTATTACCTTTAATAATTTATAATTTAATAACGAGCAATAATAATTAATTAGAGATGTATAGCAATATAGCGCCGATAAATTATATATGTAGGTAATACATGAACCAATTATTTATAGGTTTATATGCGTATATATAAAGGCCTTCCTCTTTAATCTTAAGCTATATAGCCTCATCATCCTGAAATATATTTACCGCCGCATCTCCTCTACACGAGAATCGTTCGTGAGATTAGATTATATCGATTTGAAATGTTATACCATGACGGAATGCGTAATATTTTACATGAAAATACACCACATCGGCACCGCCGCCGCGCCATATTGATCAAACTTTTTAATATTTCAAATCAAATTATCCATTTGTTATCTAAAATGTACATGGTAACGTTCCAGGTTCCGAAACGGATGGTCGTTACGTGATTAAACGGTATTACTATATTTTTCGTTTTATTCAATTTTACCCCCGCTTTTAACATGTTAACGGCGATTGACTATAAATGTTAACGCGTCCTCCGCACGATCGATAACCCAAAGTCGCGGAGGCGGTTAATAATTTATTCCTTCGTTATTCTATATCACTATTCTATCCAGTTTGAACCATATATGAAATGAATGACATTTTTCCATTCACTAATTGTATAAAAATCGCTGAAATAAGTGAAGTAAATTTGATGAATTTTCACCGCTAATGGGGATTGAAAATGGCTTTTAAATGAGGTCTCACAAGTCCACCCTTCTAACTTAAAAAATTAAGGGTGGTTAGTCTCGTTCTGTGGTGGTTTCATTTAGGGGTGAAAATTTAAAGCATAACTAAATTCAATTTGCCCTATACAGGGTGTTAATTAATTGTATGCCGATACTTCAGGATGTGAATATTTGGATGATTTTAAGAAGAGAAGTGTATATCAATGTATGTACTAAACCTCTTAGTTTTTGAGCTACAGGGTGTTAAAATTTTAGAAAAAAAATAACTTTTCTATCATAATTTTCTTATTACCTACTCCAGTTATTTTTAAGAAATTTTGTATGCACTTTTTAATTATTAAGGAGACTCTATAATATATATCTAAAACATACCTGTAAATAGGTTTGCTGTGCCCATCTCTATACCATAGCACCATATACACCCTATCTTCTTTAACAACAGGCTCTATGTCGCAGGGTAATGTAGCGCTTCTCGATAGCACAGCGTCCACAGATTGGAATACTGAAAAAATAAAATATACACCTTTAAAAACGGTAAATTAAATTTTTATCGACAAATATCTAGTTTAATTACTTCGGCGAATTAACACGAGCATAGCACTCGAATGTGGGTTGAGATGGTGCCGCTGGAGAGCGTGGAAAAATATAGGGAATATGAAAGAGCAATTCCACATGGCAACGCGAGGTTATTACTGATAAAACTAAAAGGAAATTGCTTCCGCTCGGCTTCGCTTAGGTGGGATTTTAATCCGCCGCGATTTTAAATGTCCGACGGTTCGCCCTCTTGGAGAAAGCCAACACAAACAACGTGGGGGCGATCGAAGACGCAATAAAACTTAGGATATTCCTTCGGAACACCTCCAATTTACGGAACTATTTCGTTATTTGAAATTTTATTTGAATGTTAGACTATAAAGCGCCGGTTATACGCGGAAAATGCCATAAAAGCGTTATATATCTCTTCAATCAATAACTTTTAACGAGGTTTCCTTTGAAATTTTATTCCCTCGCCGGACGAATGAAAAAGGGGAAGCGACTCGCGCTTATTTTCTGGTATTTTTTTTCAATTTTTTTATGTGCCAACGCTTCCACAACAATTTCCAACTTTCTAAAATGTGTATAGTTAGTAAAAACCTGGAAAATGTGGATATATTTGGACCGGTTCACGTATGGAAATCACGCCATTTTCTTCGTAAAGTTTTTTCAACACTATAGGAGTTAGTGCACTGGAATTCCAAATCAGGATAAGAGTAGAAAGTGGAGAATAATCAGCAGAACGATATTTGAAAAATAACGCTTATATTGTAACAGTCACTACATCACATCTGTACCACAAAAATAAATTCCCACCTCTATTAAACTATGTCATACGAAATGTCATTAATGTCAATCTTGACAGTTTTCGTATCATCGAACGCATCTTAAAAAATCCAACTTGTCATTACACTTGAGAGGTACAACAACTACAGGGGTTAATCGAAAAGTTTTAAACTCGACTCGGCGATAAACAACTTAGAAATTTAATTCGCGTTCGAACCGTTCCGAGCAGGTGATTCGCAATAAAACCCCCGCATATACTATTAACCTGCCTAACTGTAATTATCCGACGCGGCGCACGGAGTTCTATTAACCATTACCCCATTGTTGTCTCCGTACAATCGTATCTATCACAGTAATATTATTAACCCCGGTAGCTCGTATATCAAATGCGAATTCGGCGCGAGATAAATCATTAATCAAAAGATTGACAACTTTATTGCTATATTATTCCCGGTGACTGATTGTACATTATCCCGCGCCGGGCTCGTTTTTCTTGCGGGTCCGAAGAAAATAATCAATTCGACCGTATTAAAACGAACTTACTCGTTTACTTGATGGATGACATTCGATTTAGTTCGGGAAAATGTTTTATTTTATATTTTAATCGAAAATAACGGCTACATGCTGTGCAAATACGGGTTATTTTTTCCCAATTTATTTTAACAATTTAGCAAAATGTAAATTGTCAATACGCTACCAGTTTATTCAGCCGGAAAAATATATTTACAACGGATCATCGGTGAGCTTTAAAACGTGTATTTCCGTTTGAAAAAAAAAATCATCACTAGTAAATCGTAATTTATATGATTAAATCGCTTGTTCTTCGCGCGATCTTCCTCGCTTATAAGCGAAGAGGAAATAGTGAGAGCCGCTTTAATCAGCCGGTCGAGGGCCGTATATAACACATATTAGTTTCGGAAAATTTAATCGAAAATCCATTTATCACGGGATCAGCGCCGGGGTCCTTTAAGTGCCAGTTATTAAACTCTTCCTGCGACGACCCAAAAAATATGTTCATTTCGGATTAATATCGCGCCGTTTTTATTTCTCCACGACTCGACTTCGTCGGTATTTTTATCTGAATAAACGCCAGATCGTTACTCGCATTCGAGCGCTTCTAATTTCTTAGAGAAAACTTTCAGTAAACGCCCGTCGTTGTTTCTTTTTAAAGCCCCTTTAAAATGCCATTCGAGAAACTAAGCCGCGTGTAAAGAAGTTTGTTTTTTTTATAAAACAATGTATAAAATAGTTAAGTGTTAATCTTATTTGAGCAAATAGTCTGTGGGCGAATTCTGAACAGTTCTAAACTATTCGAAATTCGATTTGACCTGTTCTAAACTACTTGAAACCATTACAAATTGCTCTGAACTAGGTACTCCAAATTTCTAAACTACTCGAAACGATTTTTAACTGTCCTGAGCTATTCGAACCATCTTGCGAATTGTTCTAAACTACTCGGAACTATTATAAAGTGTTCGGAACTACTCCAAACCATTTTGAACTGTCCTGAGCTATTCCGAACCATCTTGAATTGTTCTAAACTACTTGAAACCATTACAAACTGTCCTAAACTACTCCAAATCAATTTAAACCTTTCTAAGCTACTCTGTATTTCTATACCAAATTTAATAATGCTGATATTTATTATGTAACATAAATATATAAATATTTAATGTGCTAAAAATAACCGTATCGATCGAAAATTAATCGAAACCAGTAATAGAGACATTTAGCGATTTCCCAAACAACCCCCCAGGCGTTGGAAATCGGAACCCGACGAAACGAAAAATCGGAAAAATCGAATCGAACCCTCCGCGTTTCATCGTCCCTTTACTAGCGTGCGTGTACACGGTTTTAATAAGGATGTCCGCAGGCAGTAAACGCCTGCATAACTTCACGGCAATCTCGCATAAACGAGACAAGCGTACATCTGATATATACCGCCATATACCTGCGTTCGCGCCCTCTCCCGGCTCGCGGAAAGCCTTAATTACTTCAAGAATTACCGAAAGTTATCTTGCTCTGCCGCGAACCGCCGGAAACTTACGGAAAATATACTGAATGGCAACGGCTACGATTTTAACAAGTAATAAACATAACTGTAACGAGTCTTCGGCGCGAGTTATACAGCGGCTTGGGTTATAGCGGAGTTAGTTAACTCCGCCGTGTTGGGTGGGCGAGAGGTGGAAGGGTATGTTTCTCCGGGAACGGTTTTTAAAACAAACTTCCCGTTTTCATAAGGGCGTACGTTTACGTTTCGCGATGAAATACGACGAATCGCTGTCTGTACAAGAAACTCGGCTAAAGACAAACAAAAATTATTACATTTAGTTGAGCTCTAATAAGTACAATGCAAACAAATTCGTTATTTGCTTCTACATCGTTAACTTGTTGGCTTAACGAAAATAACAAATTTGCACTTTATACGAAGTTGCCGATAAAAATGGAGTTATCATAATAAAGTTTTATATTTTTAATCGATTAAATTGTTTTGTTGAAATTTTAATTACGAGAGCGTAACATCACTTTTGCGAACCGTTTTAAACTATTTTAATCATTTTGAACTGTTCTAAACTATTTCGAATTATTGCTTAAAACAATTTGAATCTATCCTGAAATGTTATGACCTGTTCTAAATTACTCCAAATCGTTTTAATTATTCTGGTCTACTCCGAACCATCTTGAACTGATACGAACTGCTCCAAACCATTTTAAACTGTTCAAACTACTCTAAAACAACTCTCCGAACTGTTTCGAGCTCTTCTTAACTACACGTAAATTATTTTTAACTAGTTCGAACCGTTTGGAATTGTTCTAAAAACTAACCCAAACCTTTTGAACAGTTCTAAACTACTCGGAACCACTTTGAACTGTTCTAACCTACTCTGAACTATCTTGAATTGTTCTGATAATCTACTCCAAAAAGTTTTCAAAATGTTTCAAACTACTGAGAATCATTATACACTGTTCTAAACTATTCCAAACCATCTTAAACCAGTTCCGGGCTACTCAGAGCCTCTTTGAACTGTTCAAAACTACTCCAAACCATTTTGAACTTTTCTATCCTAGTCCAAACCAGACTGAACTATTCCAATTGATATTAAACTGTTCTAAACAATTCGAAACCTCTGTGAACAAACTATCTAGAACTGGTTCCAAGCTACTCCAATCGGTTTTAAACTGTTCCAAACAACCCGTACCAGTTTTGTGCCAATGTTAACACAATTTTCTCAAAGTTTGACGAAGATTAAAAGCTTGTTTACCTCAACCAGTTCCACAGATACATTTATTTTCCGTAAATATTTTGAAACTACGTTCAGGTGGAAGTTCCGTCGTAAATAATTTCGCTCGATTCCGGACAAGATAAAACTTTTAGATGCGCCCGACATATATCAGACAGTGCACAAAACCCGTTTAGTGCACAAAACTCCACCCTTTCGTCATTAAATCCATCGCAAATCATAATTTTTCCGGTCCAAAAGCTCCACCGGCGACGGGCTAATCAGAAAACGATGTGAGATATAATACGAATTCCTCGGCTGTTCCAATTGAATTCGGAGCAGCGCGATATTCCCAACCTTATATACCTATATGTATAGCAAGAGATAATAAACGCGACGATGCGTACTGTTAATCATAATAATGTATTCATTCGTAATGGAGCGTCAACATGTGAACAACAATGAATAGTAATGAAGCCAAGAATTTCAATAAATCCCAACCTCCAGTGTGCATTATTACCTATTCAGAGGAGCTGTGCTAATCAATTAATGCCACAGACAGCGGAAACTTCACACACATACACACCAGCAGACAGGGGAATGTCTCTCTGTGTGTGTACGAAACAGACGGGAAACTACTAAGAGGTACTGGTTTCCACTTGTCACCGCTTTTCACTCGATTGTTAATTTACCAGTTTTGCAGTTTTGCAGTTCCTAATTTACAGACAAAGGTCGGCGTGCTTCTGTTCAATTTATCGGGGCGCGTTCCGGAACTATTTTCCGTGAAATTAAGACTTTTAAAGAGGGATGGGGAGGGTAAATACTACGAGAAACTTCTTAGCTTCGGTGCACGGAAATTCCTCAGCAAAATGATAATCACTAGAGTTATTTTGTAACAGTCGTTACAACTCCTCTATTCCAAAAAAATAATTCCCACCTCTATTAAACTACTGTCAAACGG